AATACACACAGTCACACACGCGGGTTTTAGGAAGTGGAAAAATACTAAATAGTTTGAAGAACAGTTTTGTTGGATGTCTGAGAATTATAATGAATCTTAAATGACTCAAAAAAGGCAGAACATTTAAACATCCATGGATCCCTACAAAGGTAAAATAGACTAAGGAAACATCTAAGTTCAAGAAACCTAGTTATACCCACATAGTAGGGATGGGCCGATCCAGATGTTTCTGATCCAATTCTAATCCACGACTACCGATACAAGAGCTCTTTTTACTTTAATATTTTAATATAATAAATATGATATATATTTATACTTTTGTATAATATCTTTAGTAAATATAAATGCCAGAAATGTTAACATACTGTTCCACGTCACTTGTACATCTTGTTTTAAGCATTTTTGAGGCATTTTGCAGTTCAATCTGAATATCTTCCAAGAGAGTATATGCAAGTGGTGAGTGTCACGTTGTCTCGCACATTTGCGTGCGCTTTGTTTAGTGGGATTTTCGACTAAACGCTACTCCCACCTCTCAAAACTTTGTTTCTACAAAAACTGCAAATCACTACTGGTTGCTGTTAAAAGCATAAAATCCTCCCAGATCGCCACCCACCGATCCGATGTTCTTACGCTCCGCCTACTGTGAAGGCTATGCACATGACATCACAGCAGGCGGAAGTCACCGCGCTCACAACCACTGAGTGTCCAATAGACTGAGGGGCAGCGTTAATGTTCAGCTGGAATGCCGCAAAAACACATCTAAAATAGGAAAGAGCTGTTGTGCGATTGATTGTACAAATAGATTTAACAAGAAATATGAGCTCTCTTTTTACAGACTGCCAAAGTATCGGATGTGGATCAGTCACATATGGCCGATACCCAATCTGTCTAATAGGTCTGGATCGGTGCCGATACCGATCCGAATATCGGATCAGTGCACCTCTATGTGTTATTTGGACACTTATTACAATCAAATGAAACAACCAATAACAAATAATGTTCTCAAAAACATTATATCATTCATTTCAATATCTGCATGCCTTTTACAACTAACATTGTTCTGTAAAGTAGAACAAAAAGTTTCATAATAGTAACATTCTTCTTCCACAATTCTCACCTATTGTCACAAAACAGCATATATGTGTACATTAACAAACTTGTAGAATCAAGTATCAGATGGAATAGTACATTTGTAGTCATACTGCCAGACAATGACACTTCATGGATTCTTGTCAACAAAGAATAATCTGTACACAGATGCTAAAATATTAGCACTGTGAGCAACCATGGGTATGTGGATAAGGCATGTGACCAAATGAAATCACACAGTAAGTACAAAAGGTTTTGGTGATTTGTTCAAACATCACATGTTGGTTACTTACTTCATTACATTCAGTGTCTAAGAATTTTCCCAAAATGCCATTTGTTTCAGTGGTAAGTAGTTTTTCCAACATCAGTCAAAAAACTATAAACATGTAAAAATACATCTTTAGGAAATCAACGTATATAATTCTTATTTACAAATCATTAGTCAATCTCAGAAAGTCCTACTTTCAGAGAAATGAACACATTCTCAAATTCATAGCTTTTTTCTAGTTTTAAACAATGAAACATTCAGTGCTTGTGGAGGGCCTACTAACATGGCTCTTACCTTCTATTCTGATAGTTCCCCATACATTATTACTTGATCTATGGCATTCCCTGTGTTCCGGGTAAACCCAGCAAGAACACCATAAGAAATCAAACCAACCCACCCACATATCTCCTGGTTAGCAGATCTTAGGTCGTGATTTAATACATTTGTGTGAATGGGATCTAGAAGGGTCTGGACGTAGCCAGTGTCCTGCTCTATCACCTACCCTAGGCTGCGCGGACGTAGAACCATTCCTTGCATCACCACCTCGGATGGGAAAAGGTGATGTTGTAAAGCTTGGCCCAGCGCGCAAACACTTGCTTCTCAGTAATGAAGCGATGATGGTTTCCCATACGCCCTCTTTCGTTCTGCAGATAAGTCAGGCATTCGTCTGGGCCCCTTGGCTTATAGTAGTGGTATGGCATTTTGCGTTTTGGGTGGGGCCCCGTTCTGTGAAAATAAATTAGATGAACATTATTGGTCCCAGGAGGAAATTCTGACGCATACAGCAGCAAAGTACATTGCTCCTAGACAAACAAATTTAGTGCCAAACAGACAAGGTGCAAAAAACACATAATGCAAACAAAATGCTGAAAAACAAATTATTGTGCAATGTTAATGAAATTAAGCCAAAAAATAAATTAGCTGATGGTATGTGTGCAGATAGAAAAAGACAGCACCTAACTTTTGCAATTTTTTCTTTGCAATAGTGAGCGTCTGTTGCTATTTGCATATTAACCCAGATTATGAGATGGAACTTCAGCAAGGTATTTATCAACGGCTTTGTAATGCAATATATGTGATGGTTATGAAAAGCTATTAATCAGGACTCGAGATTAGTGCTGAAAGTAATAATTTCTATTTTAAACATTTAATTAGCAGCCTGACTTCCTTTCAAATTTAGTCAATCTATTTTCCATCTCAAACAAACTGTGGATTTCAACGCTCAAATTAACACAAATTAAACAGATATTATATATTTTGTCTTGTTTTTACATTTTGTCTATTCTAAATAATGAATATTTTAAGATAAACAACAAACAACATTCTTTAATGCCAATTTAGTTATTTTTGGCACCCTTCTGAGAAAAGCCTTTATTTCAGGGTATCCAAAGTACCATATAAATAAAATGGTTAACGGAGTTGGCCCTTTTTAGATTCACTGATACTGCATTAACAATTCCACTGACCAATCACAAACTTTTTAAAGTAACAAGGTCTCTTCCATGGAGGAACTGTGTTGTGCACCTTGCAATCTTACTTTAGTAAATTATAATGCTCTGCACAGAGGAGGTCACCTTGATAAAAGACACTGCACCACATTTCACATTCCCTCTCCGTGCAACTGAGGTAACTTCTTCTGTTAACATTTGCAAGACTGGCAGCTTCTTATAGGCAATGCTGGAAAAAATGTCCTACTTACACACAGTAATTAGGAGGAACCATGCCATACACATGAATGCTGTCACAAATTTCGATGGCGATCACCATGGTAAACCACCCGGTGCTTAGCCAAGATCGAGATTTCGCCCTGCAGAGATTAAGGCAGCTTGTAAATCAAATATATCATCAGACGAAGAAACATTTGATGACTCAGATGTTAAGATATCAAAATGCCATACAAATCATACACATCCCCTTTTCAAGGGTGCCTGAACCCTTAGAATTTTCTTATCCAACCCTGTTTTGTTCCTCCTCACCTGTCCCGGCCTGTTTCCTTCTGGAACAGGCTGTCGAATTTGCGCATCTTGCTGGGAGCGATGGTGAAACTGGACAGGTTGGAGAAGGTCATGCTGACCCTTTGGATCAGGCGGAAGAGGGTGCTTTTGGAGTCCTTCCCGATCATGGTGGGGGGGGCCCAATACACAACGACAAGGTCTGGGGTCTTGTTGAGGAACTCGCTGGGGTGGCGGGCTACCCGGAACACGCTGGAGTGGGCCACCACGCGCAGCGTGCTGCGATTGCCCACGTCCGGCTCAAAGCCCGTGGTGGGTGCATCGTTCATACGAATCACACACTCCGTCTGGTCAATCTCATCTCCAGCACCAGTGCCCAGGATGTGACTGGAGCTGGTGACCAGTGCACACTGGCGACAATGCAGGGTCATGCTCTATCGGAGGGCAGAACCCAAAACAAGCATTTAGTCTCTCGTTTCAAAGTGTTACCCCAGCATAACAATCAGCATGTTCATTTGGTCGCAGCACAGAAGTGTCTTCTCAGCAACAGACAGTTAATCTAATATCCTCTATAAAAGCCCTCAGTGAATCAATCCAGTGGCTTTTACAACTGAAGAAATGATGGAGAGACACTCCATATCACTATAAATAATTAACTGGAAATCCAATCAGCAGCTCATTTAGAGCAGTCCATCCTAAAGTTACGTTATGAAAGTATTGCTCTTAGTGTATTTACTACAAAGTAAAATTAAGAACATAAGAAATTTACAAATGAGAGGAGGCCATTCGAACCATCAAGCTCGTTTTGGGAGAACTTCACTAATAGCTCAGGGTTAAAATCTTATCTAGCTCTGATTTAAAGGACCCCAGGGTTTTAGCTTGCGTTACACTAACAGGAAGAAAAGTTTTGTGTATACATTCTGCAAAACTGAAAACTGATGACATGCAACACATTTTTTTTTCTAAACTACAACTATGGACAGTTGTCAGGCTCAGTATCGAGATTCAGTGACACATGTATGGTTTAGGGAATGGTTGCTGAATAGCTCCTGACGGTACCTTGTTGCCGTAGACCGCTACATAGCCCTCCTTGCCCGCCCACTTTTTAAGATCCGTGAACATAACTTTATGGTGGAAGCTGTTATGGAAAGGGCTGTAAATCTCACTGCTGCTGTTGGAGCTGAACAGTATCAGCAGTGTCGTTATCAGGAAGATGGTAGCCAGGATGATCTTCTGCCTCTGCTGACCATGCTGCCACAGAGAGTGATTCATGAGCGCAGAGCGAAGGACACGGGGTCAGAACACCACACACATGCAAACTCACGACTCACAACACGCAGATCCCAGATCCACATCCAGCCTGTCAGTACATGATCTCTGACCTGTGACAGTTCAAAAGTAAAAACTACATGAAAAATGTGGCAGGGGTGGCTTTGTCGTTTCCAGGGGCCTCTCTCACTTTGGCCGCCCCCACCTCCACTGCATACTGCTCTGCTAACATGTGTACCGCCATCCACAGAATTAGCACACTGTTAGTTAGCTTTGCATTGCTGTACATAAACATAAACATTCTGGTGTTTTAAATAAGGTGTGTTGCAGATCATAAATACGTATTATTCATTTACATACAAGTTTGTCAAAGTGTTTAGGAAACCCCTTTTTCCATATTTCATAAAAATGTATATTTATAAAATGTAAAAGTTTTCTATTGTATGGTACAGTGGTACACTTTAAGAATTTTGTTGTACATGCTCAATGACAAAGATATTCTATTCTAATTTATAATGCTGTTCTTGCAAAGATCTAGTCACTAAGTATTGTTTGTTAAATTAAAACAAATACATTCTGTTACAATATACATATACAATACATATACACAATATTTCATATATTTGTATAAACTGATAAAACAATAGTGATAGAGATTATATTTCATACGAAACATTATACACAAAAAACTGGCTGCAAATTTTCGCACCTATAATGTCCATTTTACCTTATAATATCCATCTTACCTTATCTATTGGCCTTTGTCCCATGCTGTATTAAATCTAAATTCACATCTTTTCAGCCTTAACGTTTCTTTTGGTCCCTACAAAGAAAATGCACAACAAATTTAATTGTAAAAATCATCAGTTTCAAGTGCAGAACCTTTTAATGAATTATAATACACACACACACCATACAGTCGTGTAATCATATCTTTTTGGGGACCGCTCATTTATTTCTATGGGGAAAATGCTAATGCTAACTATGACAACCTTAACCCCTACCCAGCCCTAACCATAACCGTAATCATAAGAACCAAACAAAATACAAGTTTTTTTTTTTTTTTTTTATAGTTTTTTAAGTTTTTTCATTGCAGTCACGGATTTTTATTAAATGGAGGTTTCCCATAAGGTAAAAAAAAAAAACAAAAAAAAAACGGGTAATCACCACGTTGTGAGGACATTTGGTCCCCACAAGGTATGGTATACCTGGACCTACACACACACGCACGCACTTTACCATCGGTTTGACCATAACGTTAACATTTTAGCCTAGGTCTTTATGTTATTAAAATGTAATTATTAAAACATACTCGTTTACCAATTACATACTAGTTAAAGTATCCTTACTCCACATTCTACTATATTGGCGTGCTACCTCGATAAATATTAAGTGAAACCTCAAGTCTATTTAACCTTGTGTTATATATACCATATTCCTCTGCAAAGCCCTATATATGCTACACAGCACAGTACAATACAAGAATATTCGCTTTCACTTCGTTTTTACATCAGAAACTCATTAAAATATACATATATATATACCAGAAGTCGTATGCGGAGACTGCAATTTACATCGTTTTAGACAAATATCAAGCAATACACAAAAATCAAAACGTTCACGAAAAAACAGATTTGTGCAAGAAGTGGATCAAGTGTAATAATCATATAAACTTCGACAAAAAAAACAGTATGATCTAAACGCTGGGTGTGAAAAACAAGCGCGCCGCCGTTATGATCCCGTTATCTATACCGCAAGTGACCGCGCACAGTCAATACGCCGCTAAACGTGCCAATACACAGTAACCATAATGGTACTTACGGGTTAAAGACCTTGGTCTTTTCGCATCAGTAAATGGATCAGCATTTAAGTAATTTAATCAGTAGAACTCATTCCTCCATATTCCTGCAACAGAGAGGGAGGGACCTGGGCCGCGTCATCGTGATATATTGCATGACCCGATGACGTAAAACGGCAGCGGACTGATATGCCCAATACATATTGTGCCTGATTAAAGTTCTCTCTCGTGGTTTTACTCAAGTTTTACGTGCGATCACCCAAAGAAATTATTTAAATATCTCAGTTCGATTGACACGATCATGTACACAAACGTACAGTACAGGCCAAAAGTTTGGACACACCTTCTCATTCAATGTGTTTTCTTTATTTTCATGACCATTTACATTGGTAGATTCTCACTGAAGGCATCAAAACTATGAATGAACACATGTGGAGTTATGTACTTAACAAAAAAGGTGAAATAACTGAAAACATGTTTTATATTCTAGTTTCTTCAAAATGGCCACCCTTTGCTCTGATTACTGCTTTGCACACTCTTGGCATTCTCTTGATGAGCTTCAAGAGGTAGTCACCTGAAATGGTTTTCACTTCACAGGTGTGCCTTATCAGGGTTAATTAGTGGAATTTCTTGCTTTATCAATGGGGTTTGCGTTTAGTTGGACGATCATTTATTTTTCAACAGGACAATGACCCCAAACACACCTCCAGGCTATGTAAGGGCTATTTGACCAAGAAGGAGAGTGATGGAGTGCTGCGGCAGATGACCTGGCCTCCACAGTCACCGGACCTGAACCCAATCGATATGGTTTGGGGTGAGCTGGACCGCAGAGTGAAGGCAAAGGGGCCAACAAGTGCTAAACACCTCTGGGAACTCCTTCAAGACTGTTGGAAAACCATTTCAGGTGACTACCTCTTGAAGCTCATCGAGAGAATGCCAATAGTGTGCAAAGCAGTAATCAGAGCAAAGGGTGGCTATTTTGAAGAAACTAGAATATAAAACATGTTTTCAGTTATTTCACCTTTTTTGTTAAGTACATAACTCCACATGTGTTCATTCATAGTTTTGATGCCTTCAGTGAGAATCTACCAATGTAAATGATCATGAAAATAAAGAAAACATTGAATGAGAAGGTGTGTCCAAACTTTTGGCCTGTACTGTATATCTACTAATATGTGTCTGCCGCTAATTAATTTTTAAACATTTTGAAAGCTTATTTAATGTTATGCAAGTCAGTAATTTTATCTTTTCTTCAAAAAATCTATTAAATTCGATGCCTCTGCAAAGGCTGACTGTCACCATTTTGTGATCGGCTCCAGGTTCAGGTGAATCAATTAGCCCCTGCCCCAGTGACAAGCAAAGGTACAAATTGGTACCTTTTTTTCTGAGTGAGCCATAACATTAAAACCACCTGCCTAATATTGTGCATGTCCCACTTGTGTTGCCAAAACAGCTCTAACCCGTCAAGGCACGGACTCCACAAGATCTCTGAAAGAGTCTAGCTGTGGTATCTTGCACCCAGACATCCTGTACGTTGCAAGGTGCAGCCTCCATAAATCAGACCTTTTGTCCAGCACGTCCCACAGAAGCTTGATCAGATTGAGATCTGGGGAATCTGTTGGCCAAGTCAACATCTTGAACTCTATTTCGTGTTCCGCAAACCATTCCGGAACAATTTCTGCAGAGTGGCAGGGTGCATTATTCTGCTGAAAGAGGCCACTGCCATCGGGGAATACCGTTGCCGTGAGGGGGTGCGAATTGGTCTGTACTTGGGAGAACATGCAAAGTCTGCAATGACAGAGACAGGGGCGAAACCCAAAGTAAAAATCTGGCAGGCTATGGTGCAGAGTCACAAGAGCCCCCTTCATGTGGACAAAGATTTCTCTGCACCGTTTTCAAAAACAACACCAGGAATTAATGTATTTTTAAGAGTAATACTTACTATGAAAAAATGTTAAAATCCAATTATATGAGCAATGGCAAAAATAGTAAACGTGCAGATGGTATTACAGATGGTCTTTTTATGAAACTTGGTACTGCTATTCTAACAGTATGACAGTATGTTTAAATTGTGTATCTACCAAAACAAATTTCTTGTAATTTTTGAATGTAGCAAATAAAAGGATTTTCAAATCTTCAAATTTGTATTTTTTGGTCTCTGGCAGGTAGGATATACAGTTTTGGAAAAACTTAAGAGACCACTGTATATTTTTTAAACAAATCTGCATTTTTAAATCCTGGTTTAATCCTGGCTTTCGTGGCAGAAGACTACACTGTGCAGCAGGTTGCTTCTAGGTTTAAAACTTCTAAGACAGCGGTATACAAGAGCAAGATGAAGCAGGAGACATTGGGAAGGACAAGAAACCAGTCAGGTAAACGATATTCTAATGCAAGAGATGACCATTAACTTATCTGACAGTTTCTTGTGAATCGTAGGAAGACATCAAGTGACCTTCAAGAGGAATGGGAAACATTAAGTGCAGGTGTGAAGTGCACTGCTAGGACAGTTTGTATCAGGCTCCTAGAAGCAGGACTGAAGTCCCATAAAGTAAGGAAGAAGCCCTTCATTAATGAGAAACAGAGAAGAACCAGGCTGCAGTTTGCAAAAAATATATATTATTCACAGACACACACCCATAACTTGAGAAATGAGTGAAACAAAAACTTGTGCTGTGGTCTCTTCATTTTTTCCACAGCTGTATATTATGTTTCCACCCACATTAACAGGATAGTATCAAACAGACTAACAAAATGTAAATACACTTTTTACATATGGAACTTCCTTTAGAAACTGGCCAAGCTACACAGGGGGCCCAGACAATACACAGTAATACTGTATAATAATATACAGGACTATTAAATTATATCATTTCAGCTCTGAATATATTTCGTCAGTCACAAGTTAATACATCATCATTTTTCTAACATTTCTTATGGTACCTTTAAATCTGTTTTTTTAAACTGCTTTTTCCATTTTCCCCAAACTGCAATGTACAAGAATTCACTAAAAAATATTCTCAATTGCATCACACAAAAACAGAACTACAAAAACAGCAGCAACAGATAGGTGACAAAGAGTTATATCTACACTGATACAACCATTTGATCTTGACATTGAATTTAAACACCATAATACAATAAATACAACAAAAAAAAATTACAGAAATGTTTTGTTTCTAGTGTGGTTAGCTTTTCAAATAATTCAGCGCATGTCAGCGTGAATGAGAGGTAATTATGTAATGTAGATAAAGGTCATACTGGAAGCTCTACCTGGGGCTACAATCACCATTAAAACTATACGGCTGCTTCTGGCTCCTTCCCGCTATTTCAGAATAGCATATAATCATCAAAAACCTTTTCTGGTAGATAGTTACAGAAAAATAAATGTAATATAGCAAAGAATGAGCAACCAATGCAGTGATATACTTAAACGGTAGTCTAAAACCACTGTGTATCTAGTAGTAACTTTATACGTCAAAATAAATTCAACTGACATATTTTTATCAGACATGAAACCCACCACAATTAACAGAGAACACCTTGGGTGAGGTACTAATCGATCACGCGCACGCGCACACGCACACGCACACGCACACGCACACGCACACACACACGTAGTCATATCTTTGTGGGGACTCTCCATTGGCTACCCTTAACCATAAGTAGCCAAACAAAATATGAAAATACAAGGCTTTTGGCATTTTTACTTTTTTGATTGCATTCACAGATATTTGTGGGGACCTGAAAAACTGTCCCCACAACATTCAAATAACAGGCTTTTATCACTTTGTGGGGGGACATTTGGTCCCCACAATGTAATATAAACCTAATCCACACACACACACACACAAGTTGGTCTTCCTGTCTAAATGGGGACCGTCCATTCATTTCTATAGGAAAAACCCTAATCCCAATCACGATACCCTTAACCCCTACCCATCCCTAACCTTTACCATAAGTAACCAACCGAAATACAAGACTTTTGGCATTTTTACCATATTGATTGCAATTTGATTGAAAACATTTCAGGTTTTACTACACTTTGGGGACAATTTGGTCCTCAAATGTGATCTATGCAAACCCCCCCACACACATACACACAAAAGACAATTTAGAGACAGCAGTTTACCTAACTGCCTGTATGTCTTTGGATTTCAGGAGAAAACAGAAAACCCTGAGCAAATGGACAGAGACATGGGGAGAACATGCATCGCCTCAATTCCCAGCTCTGGAGGTTTGAGGCTACAGGGCTTCACACTGAGCCACTGAGCTGCTACCCATAAGATAAACTAACAAATATCAGTCTGTAGGCATGACCGATACTTTCAATATAGAATATCATTGCGAGAATGTATCTTGTGTAACAGCACAACATTACCAAATAGGGTTAAAACGCACAAAAAACTGTTGTTACATTGCTGTCAAAAAACACTGTTAATATGTAAAACAATTTATCTATCCATGGATATCCATGGACGTTTTTTAATGCATCATAAACCAACATACCGTCTAGATATAAGAAATAGCGGTCAGGTGATGCCTATATTTTTTTTGTAAACTTTTCCTTCAGTTTCTGGAAAACACATCTCACTTATCAAACTGGTTGTCTCTTTTTATATAAATCAAATAAATACAACAGAAGAAGTAAAACGACTAGAGTAAGGACTGAGTTTGGAAATCTCTGTAGTCGAAATCATACGGTTGTTTTCATAAATAGCCATCCAAGCAATATCCTCTGGTTGAAGTGCAGAGACCAAAAGGAAATCACACACAGGGTTAGGGTTAGGGAAATCACACACAGGGTTAGGGAAATCACACACAGGGTTAGGGTTAGGGAAATCACACACAGGGTTAGGGTTAGGGAAATCACACACAGGGTTAGGGTTAGGGAAATCACACACAGGGTTCCTTCACACTTCCCATTCGGTTCCCCTTCAGAAGATGCCGCCCTGGGCAATCTTCTCCGTACCAGGGTCCAACACTGGCTGCGACTAGACTGCTGGCTGCGACTAGACTGCATCGCTTCTGCCCCCCACGTGGCTAAAAAAAAACTCATCCGTGTTCCAAATGTCAAAGCATTTTGCTTTCCGTTTAAATTTGGGATCCTTAGCTAACACATTTGGTAGTGGCAAGTCAAACATGTGAGCATTGTAAATTGCAAGATATCCTACATCAGTATTTCTCGCTGGAGATAAATCAAGCACCCAGCACACAGACACACCTGTCAGTGTGATCCCTTTGCAATTTAGACAATGACAACCAGGTCATATTGTTGATTGAATCAAAAACATTAAAATCAGATTTTTTTTTTTTTTTTTTTTTTTAAGAAATACACAGTAGGCCAATTCTTTGCAATACTCTAGAAACACAGAAATACTTTGATACTTCCTTTTCCCATACTTATCCAGAGTTGGAAAACACCAAAATCAAATTCCATACCTTTCCATTCTGCATAGGAACCCTGTATATAGGCATTCACTCCAGCTTTTCCAGCTCTGTCCAGGCTGGATGTTTGAACCGGATCTTTCTCTGTGAGGCCCACCTGCCGTAGATGGTCTTTTCGGTGATGTAGCGGTGGCCCCCGCGGTGCGCCCTCTCATGGACGCGGTAGATTGAGCACTCATTGGCAGGGTACTTTTCGTAGTAGTGGTATGGGGCCACCGTGTGGTTCGCCTTGCTGCAATGACACACATGGCTCACATATACAAACCTCACTTCCATCAAGTGATTTATACTATTCAGTTATTTATTTAATCACACTTTGTTTTTACATATTGTACTATAAATGTTGCATTGCGTTGCCACTTTTGGTGAACGTAGCAGCATGACTGTACTTTCATTTTACACCAGTGTAAAGTGAAATGACCGTAAAAATTCAACCAATCACTTTAGCAATTTAACCCAATCAGGTGATTTTACAGTAACTTCATATTGTGTTTTAAAACAGATTTTCTATGGGTTTGAAACTTTAAAGCATTCAAAACAACAAGACTAGAACACATACACATGTATTCATATAATTGTAGTTATGCATAATCGAACGTATACTTTCCATTAACTTCTTATTTTACTATTCCACTTTAGAATGTTGTTTGTGTGCTTTTTGAATTTGTTTGCACTTTGTTTACTTCCCTGCTCTAAGTGTAGTGTCTTTGCACTTTCTCTTGATTTGCTGTACATTATAGCCCTGGCAGGGTGTGCTTGTTCCAGCATTGCCCCATGAGTAATTCTAAGTAGCCCCTTGCTGTGTTACTGTTAATACTTGTTGCACACTCCTGTTGTTGTGTGTGTGTGTTTGCCTGTGTCTTGTGTAAACCCGGTCCAATCCTCGCATGTCATTAGCATTGTATAAATTACCCACCACGTGTGATTTTTACCGTCCAGTGTCTGACCTCTATGTGTTTCCCTGGTGTGTTCAGTTCAGCGCTCACTGGGTGCCTGTTATAATCCTCATAAGGAGTGTAACAAAAGAGCGTGGTCTTCCCAGCAAAGAAGTCTCCCTGTCATTTGCCTTTCTTGCGAAGCCCTAATCTGCCTGTCGCTGCAGTATGTTTGTTTGAACCTTACATTCATTGCTGCCACATGCATGAGATTTTACTGCTGGGATCAATAAACAAAATCTTATCTTATCTTAGATCTGAACTGTTTCTTCGCTCGTGTCACAGGTTTCCCTGAACGATCATCAGACCTACCTGCAGTAATTATCATCGATCATCCCGTAAACTTGAATGCTGTCACACATTTCCATCGCCAGTACCATGGTAAAGAAGCCAGTGCTTAGGAAGGCCCCAGACCTCATTCTATAGAAAAGAAATTGTGCTTAGTATACAACCCATATGCAGCCAGAATCTAGGCAGTCATGTTTACCTTTATAAAAAGAGGCAGGGAATATACAAACATTTGAGCTTTTCCTACAGTTGAAATTGAGACATTAAAACAACTTAGACACTCAACCATAACTGTGAGTGCTCATCAGAGAGCTACCCTCATCCTAAAAAATACATTTAATCATACTGAGTATGTACCTGTTTTTCCCAGTTTCCTTCTGAAAAATACTGTCACAATACTGAATCTTCTGCCTGGTCATCACATACAGTTTAACGTTGGGGTATTTCGTGGCCACTCTCCAGAGAGCGTTAAAAATCCTGCCTTTGCCATCTTGACGCATATTCTTTTCCGGGCCCCAAACAACATAAACGGTACTTGCAGACTGCTGAAAGTAGTACTTCTCCTTCTTGAGTAACAGCGGCACACTGGTGTGAGACACCACACGGAGATTGGTTCTGCTCCCAACATCCTGTTCATATCCCACAGTAGGCGCGTTGTTCATCCGGATCACAAACTCAGCCTGGTCTATTTCCTTGCCCATGCTGGACTTCAGCATCTGACCCGAGCTGGATACTAATGCACATTCTTTGGGGTGGATATCTAGGTACTGGAGTGAGAAATAAATATCGTGGGGACCAGTATTCGATAAACAATTAGACCTGATCAATCAACTGAATGGATGGATGGATGAAAATGGGATTTTCACCTGTGATACAGACTGAAGTAATACTACCAGGAAGCAGTGTGTAGCTCAGCGAGTCAGAACACATTGCTTACGATCGGAGGTCACCAGTTTGAATCTCAGGGTCAACAAAGTAATTTGATCACTGTGCCCTTGAGCAAGGCCCTTAACCCCAGATTGCTCTGGGACCTGCCTAGCCCAGCCTTTTTAGGTGGGGACCAAGGCAATAGCTGATCTATACCCAACAAAAAACCTCTTTTGTTTACCTTACCTGGTTCATTTGTACTGGTGTGATCCTGATATAGCCATGCAGTCTCTTATCCAGTGTAACATGGACTCCAATAAGGCCGGTTATGTGAATGTACCAAATCACTGACAGCGCTGTTGTGATGATCGCACAGATGCAGGGAAACTTCTGCCGACGAAATAATGATTTAGAAAAGTGAATTCAATGTTCAACTATGCACCTATTATATATAAAAAAAACGTTTTAGCACAGTAGGAGCAATTTTGACATTTAAAACCGAAATCCATTACCTGAAACTTCATTTCTCCCCTGTATATCCTGTTCCGATTTCATCTGTACCAGTCAAAGATGAAGGAAAGTACTTCCTAAAGATGAAGATATATTCTTTTACATCAACTAGATAAAGAATCTATTATTATTTAGAATGAAGAGAAAAATGCCGCCAAGGAGTCATATTAATGTCACATAACCAAGCACACTCAGTCATTACCTGATCATTGTTACTGAACCGGATTAATTGACAAGCTACTTAAAATTCCATTTATTCGATTGTTCTACATGCCGTTCATGCAAGATATTCTATTTTATAGATTTAATTAATTTAGTAACCAAATTACACTTATCCAAATTAAACTTTAACTCCCCACCCGTTCAACTTACTTGACCTGTTTTAATATAAATAAAAACCAAAACATTTGTACTCGATACAAGTTAGTCTTATTTGACATACCCGTTGTAAGAGAACACTGTTTCCTCAGGTGAATCCTCATCTGTATTATTATGAGAGCTGCTTCGCTCTGTTGACAATGAAACAAGCGGACTATTATTAAGACTTGTAAAAAAAAGGAAATCCTGCAAAAAGAAATATGAGATTGGACGTATTTTGACATATGATATCTGCTTATGCTAATGATAATATGTCACCAGTACAGTGATTGCCTTAATGTCGCAAAGGCAATACAAATATGCTATTATCCTATTTCAACTTCCGTGATTTTCCTACTGGCATAGAAGACAGTTAAGCTACCAGAATCCGCCTATTTCACGTAAAACGGAACCAGCTATACCAGCATGACAGGGACATGAAAACCGTCCACATTTCAGCCGCTTATCCAGCATAGCGCTCCGGGAAACAGTAACTGTATAGATGCATATATTGGTAGAAGTTGTGAAAATATAACAGGTGATACATTATGTTCATTTTTATTATTGATTGATTATGTGTTACTGATATCGACTAACAAATGAGCAATATACCTAAAAGAAGATTACAATGTGGTGTAAACGGTTTTACTAAGGGAACACAGTGAAACCGTAAATGAGCTAGCAATGTCGTTAAATGAAAATACTGTAACTACAAAAGTGAGAGTTACAAATTACATGAAGGAAATATATAATAAAGCTGCCTTTAGGGGATTATAATTGTTATTATGGTTCTACAGTTGATCGAATAAGCAAAATTGATATTAATAAAATTAATATTGATAATGACTATACGCATATTATTGCCCAATATAAAACAAACTGAACCTTCAATATAGATACTGATAATTATTGCCTTATATTTCAGTAGAAAAATGTCGGAAATGAAGACCGATTAAGACCGGAAAATGAAAGTTATATTTTTACGATTGGCATACAGAAAGAGCAGCTTACCGCATACATCCGGCCGTTTGCACTCCGCTACCCAGGATTCAGCGCTTCACCGGAAGCAAGTTCCGTAGATTGTATGCTTCCGCTTCACCTCACCATAGAGTTTAATTATTGATAGCTGGGTCACATGCAACCTACGATGACTTGAGCCTGTCTGTGATCTAATTGGATAATCAATTTCGGTTTTTCGTTTTAAAGTATGATTGGACAATTTCAATTCTTCGTTTACAACATTCTTAACAATTATTGGTTTACAGTAACGTCAATATGAAATTTACCTGGCCCTATGAAAAAATCAAGGTAGTGTGTGACATATAGGTGAAATGTCCTTCTTTACCTGATGATCAAACTGCGTACGGGTGAGTGGTTAATAAAGAGACTTATAAATAGTCTCAGCTTGTATGAAAGCCTCTCTTGCATTTCAGTATTTTAAATACTATTGGAAGGCACCTGTGACAATTCTGGTATGTATCTAGTTAAGGGAGGAGAAGACTTGAATGATATCTGTATGTTCAATTTCTCGCCGGCGACTACTTAAAAGTAAACCATTAGTAATTTAATAAAACGTGACACCCCTGGAATATGTATATGGTTGCCTTGTTTTTGGGAAGATCCCAGAAATTTTCGTGATGGTTATTGCATTGATAAAATAGTAGAACTAGCTGAGCTGTTTGTAATTCTAGATGATTGTTTTCACTAAGGTGTGCATGACCGTGTTTGAAAACCTATCAAATCGCGCTATAAAGGTGACACAGGCTAACAGTTTTCATCGTGTGGCCAAGTCCTCATGCACGTACCGCCTGCTGCCCATCTGACTGACAGAAAGCTGTAATAGTTTAGGGATCGTATCGTTAACTGACAGTCATGCATCGCAAAATGTATGTGCATTTATGTGTGTCTTTGTATTTGTGTTTTTTATACGTATCTTGTCAATATAGATATTTTATTGTTAACATTATTATATTCTTGTTCTTATCAGTATATACTGTTGTGCTATATAATTTTAAATAAAACGATTGTATTGTAACTGTGCATGATTTAAAACGATATTTAACAGAAGCAAATAGTTTATTTTCCAAAGTCAATACATTTTTATTGAATTACTTTTTTGGAGCAAAACGTTTTTTGAAATTACATTAATTGTGATAGCGGATCTCTCCTTTTTAAAATGTTATACTTCTCATTCAGCTGAAGTAGAATATCATATGCAGCCGCTGATCTTCTAAGCACTGAAGTCTCTCCCCGGGTAGAATAAGGCGCATGGCTAGACTGCGACCTGCAGACGCGTTGGACCAACACACTGAAGTACAGTGTGTTGTGTTTCTTTTAACTAAGACAGTGCCATTTCAGAATTGATCATATACAGATTTTAAAAACGGTGCTCATATTCGTAGTAATGACAGAGACTTATCTTCATTCTCCTTTTGTAAAACTACTTCTCTCTTTAAGAAGACTGTCCGCTTCTTTCTGCCTACTGCTAACGAGTATATTCACCTTTCACTAGGTTTGAATATAACTGGGCAACAAATCTGTTGTCCATCGCATAAATAAGTAAAATCTTAGCCAGACCTTTACTAAAAGGAGAAATTCCCCTTTAAAGTCGATAATAGCAACCTTTCCTCGTGTGTTCCTTTCTATGCAATATGTACAGAGGACTGTGCCATCAGGATATGTTGGCATTTGTCCTGTAGTACTACATGTAACATATTTATCTCTGCTTATTCTTTGCTTTAAAATAATTCCTTATTGTTGTACTTTCATTAAAAGGGTCCACTCTTCCCCATTCTGCAAGAATAGCCTTCAGTTTGTTTTGATTGCTGGATGCTCCGAAACGATAAGATGCCAAAAGTATAGATGATGCCATAATACATAATACATGGAATGCTGTTCCGCTACCAACTATGGTCTGTAATGCTATGGTAGCAAACAAAACACAACATTGATTATTGTCTCATTTCTTTCCGATTGCAGTAAATGTGACGGAAAGCTGCTGATGTATTGCGGTCCATTTATTTTTTTGCATAGGAACACACTGCTTTTAAGTGATGAATTCTGTGTTATCTGCTAAATACGGTACTGCAATCTGTTAGATTCCTAATGTGTGTGTGTGTGTGTGTGTGTGTGTGTGTGTGTGTGTGTGTGTGTGTGTGTGTGTGTGTGTGTGTTTTGGTTTGACAGGCCATTGCAATCATGAGGTGGTGCTGAGGATATATTGCTTGTGGGACCAGCCTTGACTCAGTCCCCCCCCCACCCCCGAATCAGCATGGCTTCCATGTGATTGAGGGCTTCTTGGTCGTAGTAGCCGCCAAGCTGACATGTCTATGAGAAGAGCGGAGGGTGCGTCCATCATCCAGGCCTTGGCCATGACTGTGGCAGAGATACCTGTCTTTCTGTACTCCTCCTTTGGGCAGGTAAATTACAATATAATCTGTGCACTTCTGTGGATGTTTTCATCTAGACTAATTTCTTGTCTTTCCTCCCTTAGTCACTAAATGAACCAATTAACCAGATTTAATCTAAAGATTCAGCTGATTGGGGACGGCCAGCCCTGTTGATTCTAAGCCTCGCTCATATTAATCACCGTCAGAGTGCAGCACTCGCCTCAAAGCTTCTACAAAAAATTTATTGCAGAAGAGATGATATGGGAAATAGTTGTTAGAGTATATCATTCAGGAAAATGTTAGAGCCTATTGTAAGACTCAGGGGATCCACCAAACTACAGTGAGCTTTCTGGCAATGGATGTTTTGCTAATATTTCTCTAAGGGTGTAACAACAGTTGAATGAAGTCAAAAAAAGATCCATAGGACTGCTGGTCTCTGTAACCTCAGCTGAGGTCAGTGTTCACAACTCTGCAATACGAGAGACTGGGAGGTAAATGGAATTCAGGGGAGAATAGCAAGGTTATGAACACTGCTAAGCAAGATAAACTTCCATGTCCATCAAAAGTATGCAAGAAAACACCTGGATCTTTTGGGATGACCTATATACAGATGAGTCAAGATCGGAACATTTATTTCTGGAGTAAAGCAATGCAGCATTTCACAGTAGCAACGAACTAACAGTTGAAGGTGGTACTGGAAGTGCGACTGGTGCCTGTGTGTCTCAGGACCTGGAAGAAATTCCATTATTGAATGAACAATGAATTCTGCTCTGTACCAGAAAGTTCTTAAGTAGATTGTTTGTGAGCTGCTGAAGTGAGGCAAACGATCTAAAAAAAAAAAAAAAACCACAAAAGCGAGCACATCTGAATGCTGGCGTTTGGAAGGGGTCTAGTCAACCTTCTGAACCCAAGAATGACGCCGTGCTAAGATGTGAGATGTGAAACGGGCAGTTAATGCTGGAGCAGCGTGTCTGAATTAAAGCAGCTCTGCAATGAAGAGAAGGCTCACATTCACCCTATGTGATGTGAAAGACTGATGTGAAATTATAGGAAGTGTTTGGTTTCAGTTATTACTGCTGATAGTGGTGCAACCAGTTCAGGGGACAACTATTTTCTCACTGGAATACGGGTGTTAACCTGTGTGTTACTCTGGTTCTCTGTGTAATATTTTGTCAAGTGCCAAAACTATCCAGTGTGGCAAATATGTAATAAGAGTACATCAGGAAAGCAGGAAAGGGCAAATACTTTTTCTTTTAGCTTCCTGGGATTCCTGGATCTGTAATGTCTTGTAGTACCAATCAGTGGTACTAATATAAATATTAGGCCTAACAAGATTTGACTTCTGTTCTGTGTTCAAGGTCACTGCCCCCAAACAGTGCTTTTATGTTTTTTTTTTTTTTTTTTTTTTTTTTTTTGTCCCCCAGTCCATTTTCTCTCAGCTGCGGCTTTCACCCAGCCTGAAGAAAGTTCTGTTCGCCACCGCCCTGGGGAGTGTGGCTCTGGCCCTCACCGCCCACCACCTGAAGAGGCGCGGGCGAAAGAAAAAGCAGGTGACGGCGGCCCAGGATGACCAAAAAGCACCGGAGGCCTTGCTGAGATTGGGGAGGCCACTGTCTCTGAAGCGAGGTGATCACCAGAGACCCGTGTGCTGTGCTGTTGGACGGTGAGAGCGCTGCAGTGCTGATGCCTGGCTTTCCTGCCCTTTCGCCAGGCCCGCTCTCCGGGAGGCAGATGATGAGCCCCAGCAGCAGGAGCAATGACACCATGAGTGGAATCTCGTCCATCGCCCCCAGCAAACGCTCCAGCTCCTCCCACAGCCTCGCTTCGGTCAGAGCCATCTCTCTTCTTCCCTCTCTCATAAACCCAGTGGATGAGTGCACCCCTCCCCCATTCCATTTCAGCCAGAGGACAGCAGTCTCTTTAACAAGCTTTTGCGTTGCAGGTGCGGGTTCCCACCTCCCCGAACCAGCTGGCCAATCAGCAGCCCCCCTGGGAGACGGAGCCGGTGGAGGAGGAGTCTGGTGCAGCAGACGATTCCAATGCGGAGAACCTTTACATCATGGGTGATTTTCCATGACTGCTGTAGTCCCTTCGTGACCTTTCTGCCGTCATTAAGCTTGACTCCATCTCCAGCTGTTCAGACCATTTATTACCTACAGCTGTGGAAAAAATGAAGAGACCACAGCACAATTTTATGTTTCACTAATTTCTGAACCAGAACCAGAACTGCAGTCTGGTTCTTCACTGTTTCTCATTAGTGAAGGGGTTCTTTATGGGACTTCAGTCCTGCTTCTAGGAGCCTGATACAAACTGTCCTAGCAGTGCACTTCACACCTGCATTTAATGTTTCCCATTCCTTTGGAAGGTCACTTGATGTCATCTTCTGATTCATGAGAAACTGTCAGATAAGTTACCGGTCATCTATGGCATTAGAATGTCGTTTTCACCTTTAACTGGCTGGTTTCTGGTCGTTCCTAGTATCTCCTGCTTCTCCTTGTTCCTGTGTACTGCTGTCTGAGCCTGGAAGCGGCCTGCTTCTCAGCGTAGCCTTCAGCCAGCAGAACCAGGATTTAAAAATGCAGATGTGTTTAAATTTTATTTTTTTTTTGCCCACAGCTATTTTTTAGTGTTTTGTTTTTTTTTGGTTGATATTTTGGTAAATGTGGTGATGTTTCAGTTGTGGGATTGAGGAGTGTGAAAGATCTTTGAGCTGGGGAAGAAGTATGATTATGCATTCAGTGTTTCTTTTTGCCTCCCAGGGATGGAGCTGTTTGAGGAAGCACTGCAGAAGTGGGAGCGGGCTCTGAACATCCGTCAGCGCAGTCAATCAAACACACCAGCCAGTAGCAGCCTTGCCTGCCAGGGGGCGGGCCCTCTGGAGGAGCCAGTGGTGCGTTTCCGCTCCTCAGCTCCGCCCCCATTCCACACTTTCAGACATACCAGGACATCTCTGTGTAAATTTGGTCTTTGACAGGGAAGGAAATGTAAACAATTTTAATAATATAATGTATTATGGAAAATGCTTGACGAGAGTTTTTTTCTTTCCTTTCCACATGTACTATATCAGTCCTTTCAGCATTCGCAGTGGCTAAAATGACACTTGTGGGAAGCAATGAAACATTAAATGCAGGCGGTATTTTTAAAATTAAGATTCTTAAAACTAGTCAAAGGTCTGAGTATACTTGCCAGAAGTCTTTTTTTAACGTGTTTTGCACAATATATTTTCAGTAAATCCTTAAAAAGCTCTAAAAGCTGTGGGGTTGGACTCCAAGCTGATGGCGTTAACATATTTTCACTCATTTGACTAAAAATGACATTTTGTGAAATTCTTTTACAATTTAACTGTTTTCATTCCACCTCATTTATTACCATGCCCCCCCCCCACCAGGTGGAGTCACGAAACAAGGTCTTTGCTGAAAAGCTGGAGACCCTTCTGCACCGAGCGTACCACCTCCAGGAGGAGTTCGGCACCACCATCCCCCCCGACAGCTTGCTGGCAGACTTCGGTAAGTCGCGGTAACACCCAGGTGGACGGGGAAGGCAGCCCGGTCGACGTGGCCGAGATGGAAGCACCAAGCACCAGTGTGGAGGAATGACAGGGCTGCAGGTCATGTGACTTCAAATAATGCTCCTGATTTGCTGCCTTAATGTCCCTGCCTGAACACGGCTGGCTTTGCGTAGAGCCTGCAGCCCCTCAGCTCACGGCTTGGTGTCTTTACCTCAGAGAGTGAAGGCACCCTCATCCTGCCCAATGTGGGGAGCTCTGAGCGGCTGAGGGAGGAGGACGCCATGACAGTCACCTCCGACGACTCCTTCTTCTCCGCAGCCGAGGTTCGCGTTTTGTAAACTGGAACTTTCTGCCATTGAATGCAATCTGGAAACATTAACATTTTCCTCCGGCTTATTATGGACCTTTAACTCGTGTTGCGCTTCTCTTGTCCGTCTGCGTAGCTCTTCGATACGTTTCCCTTGGAGGGGCTGTACCAGCCCCTGAAGCCGGCAGCCCTGTATGAGGAAGCTCTGTGTCTGGTGAAGGCGGGGAGTGTGGAATGTAGGACGCTCAGGTAGATGAGAGACGCTCGCTGTCTTCATGTGCCCCCCCCCCTTGCTGTGTGTGAGGGAGACTCTCCATGTCTCTGCTTGGCTGGCTTGCAGGACGGAGATGCTGGAATGCTACAGCGACCAAGACTTCCTGGCGAAGCTGCACTGTGTGCGACAGGCGTTCGAGGTGCGTAGGCCTGCAGCGAGCCGGGGGGCAGGGGATGCACCCTGAAGCTGGCCTGTGCAGCGGTGCAGGGATCCCGCCTTCCTGACAAATAATAAATCATATTAATCGTGATTATTATTATTATTACTATGGAAGAATGTGTACATGTCTGGCATGTGTTTAATGTATCCTACGTGTAATAGATTCCTAGCTTACCTTGAAGAAACCTTATGTCTTATGCAAGATTAGACTTGCAAGAATTTTGACAAACTAATTTTTATTTATAATTTAAAGAACACTACACTTCACGGTGAAATTAATTCCATTTGCTAGTGTGTTTTATACCCGTTTCTAAGGAAGATAAGGCCTGTCAGTAATTCGGATGGTATTTATACAGGTGCTGCTGCTAGATGAAACTCATCGGATTTTCTTCAGCGATACAGGGAAGCACATGATCACAGGCCTGATGTGTAAGGCCAATAAGGTCAGAGAATTGCACATCACATGGTCACAGGCCTGCTGTGTATGAATTGTTAGATCAAAAGCTTGATGTATATGACCAGTAGGATCAGAGAATTGCACATCACATGGTCAAAGGCCATATGTGTAAGGCCAATAAGGTTGGAGAATTACACATCCCACGGTCACAGGCCTTATGAGTATGACCAGTAAGGTCAGAGTATTACACATCCCATGGTCACAGGCCTTATGAGTATGACCAGTAAGGTCAGAGTATTACACATTGCTGCCGCCTTCCCCAGTTCCTCAGCCTGTCCCTTACTGTGCCTGTGAATGATGCTCTGTCAGTATTTCTGGTTCTTTATGAACAGTATGCTTTTGTTTTTCACCACCTGCTTTGCGGCTCCTTTTGTTTGTATAATTCATAGTTCCTCTTTACAGAGTCCTAAGGCTTTTTTGGAGAGCTATGAAGAAATGCTTCATTACACCGAACGCGTAGAGACTTGGCCGACTACAAAGACGGAGCTGGAGGGTCGGGGGGTGGGTCCTTCTCTCATCCTGTCATGTCCATCTCTGTAAACGTTGTAAATATGTATTCTGCTTCTGAATTGCGTGTGATCAAGAAATGCAGCGTTGTGGAAACCTGCATATGAATAACGTGGTATTTAATTTGATTGTGTAGACAATCCCTGTCTGTCTGATACTTGTCACTGTGATGTGGCTAATTGTAGTCAGTCCTACAGCTGTTGGGTTTTGGGGATGTGGCAGTAATGGCTTATACCCTCCTAAGGTGGTGTGTATGAATATACCTCCTAAGGTGGTGTGTATGAACTTCTTTGACATTGTGCTGGACTTCATCCTCATGGATGCCTTCGAAGACCTGGAGAGCCCCCCCTCCTCTGTGGTGGCTGTCCTCAGAAACCGCTGGCTCTCTGACAGCTTCAAGGAAACGGTAAAGGGAGCTCCCCCTACTGGTGACGTCTTGTCCTAATGCAGTCAAATCAGAGTTGGTCTCTTAATTTAAGACTGACTTTTATCTCAATCTAGAGAAGTATTTTACTGAAATTAAGCTGATAAATTCTATCAGTACTACTTGGTGTCTTTTTTTTTTTCTTTCTAGATCAACAGCCAGTGTTTTACAGATGACATATTATGCTTGTACCAAAGAAAGACTTGCTTTTAATTTTAAATCTAAAATCTTATGACCAAATTATCAAGCCCATTATGTAAACTTCCTTAAATGTGTTCCTCTTATAGGCATTAGCAACTGCTTGCTGGTCCGTTCTGAAGGCTAAAAGACGCCTTCTGATGGTAAGATGATGAAAATGAAAAATTACTTTCAGTATATGTACGGCATCATTTTAAAATTAGCTTTACATCTGTCACTGTGGCTTTCAAGTGTAAAACATTTGTTTAGACAAGAAATGGGGTTCCTTATTTTGGTACGTTTTATGCAATTGCTATGGAAATCGTGTCTAAGAGCATACAAAGTGTTATGTTTACATAGGTAATGCAGCTATGAAAACACTACGGCTTTCTAAAAATATGTATTTCATACATAAATATACTGTGTTATAAGAATTATAATTTTATCTGAAAGTATGTTGCTTAAAATAAATATTGGCTGCCGTGACTCATGTTCAGTGTTGTGCAAGTTACTGAAAATGCGTAATTGGCTAGTTACTACTTAAAGTAATTGAATCGCTTTATGACTTTCTGCATATAAAGGTAATTATTCACTAGGGAAAGTAACTGCGTTGTGTTACTTCAGTTCTCTTAATGTACACATACCCAGACAGCGCACACACGTCGCCAGAACGTTGGTTAAGATCAGAACGTTGTTAAATGATTACGTTCCATTTAGTTATATTAACTATAATTAAATTCACATATGCTAGTGTGTGTTTCAGCGAACATGTTTTCAGTAATTTTGCTTTAATCAATTCAGCATAACTTAAGCCTATTGTTTCTGTCTATTTAAGTGTATAACTTTTTAAATTAGTGAAATTGTTTTGGTATATGGTTTTAAACAGTTTTCCTACAGGCTAAACAAGAATATAGTCTAATTGGGGAAAAATAACAGTAGGCTAAATGTCGCCTAGTGACCTCATGAACATCGTGTTGCTGTTGAAATGCGTCACACAGACATCGGGGGACTGTTGAATCAATATTCAGTAGAGATGTTACTTGAACACAGATGCTTTGCCGGTAGATTTGCAGGCATCGCGGAGACATCATGCCTATGTGTGTCTGCTGTCTGAGACCGTTGAAATTTCAGTAATTTTAAGTGAGTTATTTAATTTGAAAAGGTAATTCGTTTCATTACTCATTACCACCAAAAGTAATGGAATTATAGTAATGTGTTAGTAACAGCACTTTGTTTACTGTCCGGAGCTGAGTGCTGGATCTTGGGCCTTGCAGGTGCCAGACGGCTTCATCTCTCACTTCTACTCCATTTCTGAGCACGTCAGTCCCGTTCTGGCCTTTGGCTTCCTGGGACCTAAGCAACACCTAAGTGAGGTGTGCACCATCTTTAAGGTGAGAATCACTTGGTTTCATTTTAAATGAATAAACGTATCCGAATGGCTGCTGTCCGTTGCACAATGAGTTCTCTCCAGCTACAATAAATGCATGGACAAGCTATTCCTCTATGGACTCATAATTTTTTTTGCAACTCTTCTTTCCATAGCAACAAATAGTGCAGTACCTAAAAGACATGTTTGATCACGACAAGGTTCGCTTCACCACGATGGAGTCGCTCGCTGATGACATTCTGAGTCTGTCCCACCGGAGGAGTGACATCCTATTAGGATACCTTGGCATCAGCAACGTTTTAGAACCCAACGGAACCCTGCCGTTGGTGCCGCCAGGGCCCTCAGAGCCCATCCTAGGGCCTACGCTGGACCTCTAGGGCAGAACATTGGTGCCCTTGTTCCCTGTAATTCCTTCTAATGGCATCTTTCATAATTGTTTTAATGACTTTTGTGTTGTGCTGAAGATAATCCAATATGTTTTAACACTCCTGTGTCCTCAATCCTCACTGTGATAACGGTACAAGAAAGGTTCGGAGCAAAGGTTCTGTCATCCTCTGTTGGCCAGGTAGAAATGCACTGTTTTGAATATTTGACTGAAGCTGGTATACAGAGAGACTGGCGAAGGTTGACTTTGCTTATTCCAGTGGTAATAAGTATCTGAGCAGAAACGTGATCCTTGGTGAGGAATGGAGAGCTCCTGGCAATGCTGTGAGGTGCAGCTTCGGGGAAAGACCGCACTCTAGCCTGGGCACTGGGCGATCAATCCTGGCAGGAGACATGAAATATTTTTAGGCTGCTACTTTCAGGATAAATCAGTATTTATTTTTAACTGATAGCAGTTGCTAGTGGTTTAGTTGTGGCATTCCAAAGATTAACCTCATCCGCACCCCCACTTGTCACTAGATTGGTACAGAAGCAACATGGCGCAGTGCCTTGTGCCTGTAATGCTGGGTGGCTCTACCTCTGTGCTGAAGGGGGTGCACTGCGGTGACTGTAAATTTGCGTGTCTGAGGAGAAGGTGTGGTAGTTGTTTGGTTTCATTATTATATATGACGCATTCACAGACTTGACGTGAGAACTACAGGGAGGTCTGCTTCCAGATGCAGGAATAATTTGATTTTGGGAAAACACAAAGTGGTGTGTTTAAAACGCAATGTTGTACACCAGGGAGGTCAGATTCTGTGCACCCTTACCATTTCCTACACTGCTTTATTTTAATCCCCCCCCCCCCCAATAAACCATTGATAACGTGTAATGTACAAAATATTGGAAACGGTCTTGTTACAGGCCCAAAAAATGTTTAATTAGATATCCTTGACTAATTCTCTAACAATTCATATAACTTCATCCCACTGTTCCTGTCTGTCTGCTTTTGGCACTGTATGCAAAACAACCTTAAGTTTCCTCATTTCTGTGAAACAAATTTAGTACTTTTTGCCTTCTGTGTTGTATAATCTGATAGCTGGAGAAAGTGATTCAATGCAGAGAATATTCATATAGAAGCCAATCTAAAATGAAAGAAGGTTTCCTTTGTGGAAAACAAGTGTTCTGCACATTTTCATCACTTGCTTTTTAGATTATTTTTAATTTCACCTGTGCATTCAAACACATGGAAACCTAAATAGAAGGGAAACAATATATCAAAACAAATATGAATCCAAACAAGAAACATAATTTACTGTTTTTATCTTTTTTATGGTTTCCAAGTCTGTGCTAGTGTTTGTGTTGCCACTTTTTGTATTTGAGATCACCTTTTTTCCACCTTGCCTTAAATGTAAAATCCCTATATCTAAAGCACCACTGATTAATGTCATTGTACCACATGCTGCTGTAATTGCTGAGTATTACTTTAGTCGGATTAAACATACGAACTCAACTGTATTTATTGGAGAATTCAGTAAGACAACAGTTCCACGTCTGTATAATCGCCATTCTGAAATTTCCAAGTGTTCTTTGCATGTGAACATAGACAGGAGTATCTGCTAATGTTGTATAGTCCATTATGAGGGTTCTGATATACCCAATGTGAGTCACTCATCATTGGAGCATATTAGTGTTAGCAATGCACAGGACTATCCTGTACTTCAGTAATTAAAGTCCAAATTAAATACTCCATACATATTATCCATGTGTATACAAAGGCAAAATCACTGACGATTACTTCATTTAAAAGTAATGAATTTTGGAAGAAGACATTCTTGCGCACACCGTTATTTTAGTCCCACTGAATGTAGAAAGGCTATATGATAAGTTATGTGATAGTTTACTTACAGGAATTTACAGATGTCATTTTAATGAAGTGTCAATTAAGAAGACACGCCTTAATAGATGTAACCTTATATAAAGTAACACCTTTAATAGGAATGGGGACAATGTGGATAATTGTTTCTTTGATGTTTCTTTGCAGAACAGTGGGGGATTTACACTGATTAATTTCTTGTGTTCTGCAAAGAGGGGGATTGCGATGATGGAAGATGTCTAGTGTCTCTTCCTGTCCGCGGTGCAGAGGTTATCACTGGAGAGGGGATATAACGTGCAAGGTCGCGCTAATGCATTTGTCATGTTGTTTTATAATACTCTACAAAACCAGCAGAAGTTGTTACCATTATGTCAAGCCGTAAATATTAGTATTGTTTTCACAGTAAATGGTATCTTTTTGCCTTTTCCAAGCCAATGTGAGTTTATTTTACTTTTTGTGTTTGTTTCTCCCTCATTTTAGTGAACTGTGTAAAGATTGGAACCAGAAATGGTTTTAATCCTGTGCTTTATTCAGACATCCTCATATAGTAAAATAAAACATATTTCTATCAAATGGGATGTTGCAACATTGTTTCATGCATGTATGTACAGCTGTCATTGGCATTCAAAGCATATAGTAAGTGTAAATAAACTACCTGCAGTTGTAATTTGTTTGAACATAATGGATTTTTGTGTAACCAACCAACCAAATCTAGAAAGTGGACATCAACTAGATAATATCCACATAGCACATTCAAGATCATAAATGCTTTCCACATTGTAAAAGACAGAGTGCAAGTCTGTTATGATAAAGCTCCAGGAATCCAAGCTGGATGGGTTGACCTGTTAATGGTATGACACTTGCTTATCTGTAAAATACTTCATTTTATTTGCTGACTGCTAAGCTATCATGGAAAATAGTAAATGAGCATTTCAACCTTACAACGGTGTTCATAAACAAAACGGTTCTGCTATATTGCTGCACACATGAAATGCCTGTAGAAATTCAAGCTAAGATTGCAATGGCAGCAACCTATCAAGAATTTGCAAGCTGGGTCAGGGAAAGGGGAAAAATCTCCGAAGAACCCAACATTCCTGGGAAATTGCTTTAAAAAGTGTATATGTGTATGGGGCTAGTTAAACAAAGTATTCTTCCTATGCTGACAAAGACACAGCTGAGTGAAATTCATATAAGGAATATATTATCTTGCAAGTCCCAAAAAGATCAGAAGACATGCAGACTGCTTATTGATCCGTCTGTACTGTATGTAGTAGCAAACTAGCCTGTAGGCCAGTTTCATTGTACTCCAAGGACTATTTTGAGGTCACCCGAGAATGCCATTGAACATAGTGTAGTCTCTTTCATGGGGGTACAGTGGGAGGGGTCACACTCTCAGTCTGGGGGAGGATGTGTTCCAGAGCGTTGCAAGACTACTCAGTGTGACTGTGCCCTACAACAGCCATTACTAAAGCCCTAAATGCACTTAATATGGCTGGGAATACATTATATTAAGTGTATCTCGAAATTCCATATCAGAAGATATATTGTATTTATGGACATTCAGCTTCCCAGGGAGAAAAAGCCACGTCTGGTAGGGGAGGGAAACACTTGGTGAGTCACCTAGTAGATGGGCTGGGTTGGGTAGGGTAGGCGTGTTGTCTGAATGGGATGCCACTCCACGACAAGACATATACACCACAAATGAGATCTGACCTTGTCTGAGAATCATGCAGTCCTAGATGGGCTGGCTATCGGTAACTTCTCTCAGTTTATATTCCACAATGTGGGTGTCCATTTTAATCTTGTTCAAGTTCAAAAATCAAAGTTGTGGGCTGTATTAATTCAGTACAGGTCATAAAATCCACTGCTACTGTCGTCGGATGTTCTAATAAACCAGCTGAGGACCAGGCAGCTTTTCCTGGAGTAGACATTTAAGGCCAGATTCTTGGATTGTCCTCTTAACAAAAAAAAGGGAATCGTGCAGCCTAAACCACAGTACCTGTAAGAACAGGAGCAGAAATGTGAGGCATTTAAACCAAGCATCCAAGAGCAAGTTCATTAATGAGGCCTTACCCACACCAAATCATAAAAAGTCTAGAATACTATAAGGGTGATACTATGGGCAGAACATCTGTTATGTTATTTGTTCAGTTAAGTACAATTACAGAGCAGACTTCACCTTTTGTCAGCCAAACCATGCTTAATGTAATCGCTTGTATTATACAGTGCAAATCATATTTACATCAAATGCACATATATCACCCCAGCACTACAACTGATGTCCACACTGGAAAATATGCTGGAGGCAGTATAAGGGTCGCCAACTTTGGTCAGTTGGCTGAATGCAGTTCGAGACAAGTCTGCGCGCGCACACACAAACGCACGCATTTACATGTATAACAGTTTTATTACCTTGTAAATAGTCTGCTAAACTTTGGAATTAATGTTAGACTTTGGAATGAATGCGATTTGAACTAAATAAACGTATATTTATAAAATTGTTTGTGTTGTATGTATTTTTGACACACATCCGCCTAAATTAGTACGTTATGCCAAGCCAAATAGTCTTGTATTAGCACACGGCTTACTCGTCATAACTTTAATAAAAACAATATTCTTACTAGTAAAAATGCAATTAATTAATTTGCACTGTTTCTCATAGTCCATAATCTATTATTGTATAACATATTATATTGTATTGTCACAGCCTCCCTGTTGTGCCCCCCGCCCTCAAAAAAAGTCTTTTTGCACCTTTGGTCCCTGGCGGATGTTATTTCGTCTCACTGTGTGTTTTAATGTATATGGTTGAGATGACAATAACGCTCTACTACTAGGCTACTACTACAGTACTACTAATTACAGATCTCTACACTCTCAGAAAGAAAGGGTAAAAGTTTGTACCTTTGCTTGTCACTGGGGGTGTACCCTCAATTGTACCCTTATGCTACGTTCACATTGCGAGCGGCGAGAGCGTCAAAGCGACCGGAAGTCATTCATTCTCTATGGGAGGGAGCGTC